TCTCCCGATTTGGGGTGCAAGACATCACAACAGATATGGAGTGGTAAACCTGCTGATTATTATTTTTTCGAAATTTATTGTTACCCTACATCTTAAGGATGATAAATTAAATCCTGGAACAAAATGGTGTATTTTACTGCGTTATACAATGGGAGTCAAAAGGTAATAGATTGTGCAAAGCCAGTTGAAAGATTGGACTTTTGGAGGAGCAATGGTGGCCCAAACTTTGGATTTGATTGCTGTTGGGTTAGCCGGAAGAGTAGGAGGTAGGATTAATCCTTTGTAGAATGAGGCTACCTAAAAGATGCCAGATGGAGCTAGCATCCAGATGATAGCATCACTTCCTTGCGGCGATAGGAAGTGACAGTGAAGAGAGATAGAGAGACTGAAAATGGGTAAATTCCTCATCAGTAAGATTCCTTCGGAAGGAAGGGTTCCATACTCTCTGTCCCCCTGTTAAGACCATCCCCTCTGCAACTGAGGAATCTTTGTTTAGAGCCAAAGTGTAGAGGGTAGGGAACACCTCTTTCAAAGGGGAGGGTCCTAGCCACAAGTCGGATCACAATCTCACTCTAGAGCCCTCTCTAGGATGATATCTTATAAACTTTATGAACTGGGAAAGGGCCGCGACAAAAGATCTTCAGGCCCTTGAAGCATTGTGCCATTGACTTCTAGAAGGCAGCCAGGCATTTTCTGGGATGTTATACTTTTCCGTAGAACTTGAGCCCAAGGGGAGTTCGGCTGGGTGGCTAGATGCCACCACCATTTCCCAAGGAGTGCCTGGTTATGTTTACGAAGGATACGAATACCAAGTCCTCCTAGCTGTTTGCATAGGCAATGTTGTCCCATGCTAAAAGATGGAACTTTGTCTTATCCGCCTGGCCCGACCATAGGAAATTATGCATGATCTGGTTAAGTCGATTGGCAACCTAGGCTGACATGTGAAAAAGAGACATGAGGTAAATCGGGGAGTTGGCAATGGTAGCACTGATCAAAGTCTTTCTACCTGCCATAGAGAGAAATCTACCCTTCCACCCTGCCAAACGCCTATCTACCGTGTCTAGGACATGGGACCATTGCCTTTTCTTGGGTTTACCCAATCCCAAAAGAAGGCCTAGATAAGAGGTCGGTAAATCTTGCACTTTACAGCCCCACCTTGGAATGAAGGATCTGACCTGTGCTGAAGTAAGGGCAACACCCAATACTTTTGATTTATCGAAATTAACTTTGAACCCTATCGCTGTTTGGAAGCACCTAAGGAAGAGTTTGAAGGTTTCAACTTCATTGCAAGAGGCATCAAAAACACCTGCATACTGCAGATGAGACACCGTTGGTCCATGTGAACTACTCCTGAAGCCCGACAGCTAGCCAGTCTCATATAGCCGAGAGATAGAGCGACTGAAGACTTCCGCTGAGATAGCAAAGAGGAAGGGGGGCCCTAAAAGAAGGGAAAAACCTTCAGGGGTTCCGTTGATAGGAATAGAGAAATGTGGATGTGAATAGCAACCCCTCATCCACATTCCATTTATTACAGAAACCCATTCAAGCCATCGTCTCTTCAAGAATTGAGCAATCCACATGGTCATATGCCTTTTCCCAATCAATTTTGAAAATAAGGCCAGGTTTCTTAGATAGGTGCCTCGAGTGGATACACTAATTAGCTACTAGGGCCCCATCAAGAATTTGTCTGTCTTTGAGAAAGGAAAATTGTGTTGAAGAAATAACAGAGGGAATGCTTGTTGGAGCCTGGACGCAAGGACTTTAGCCTGAATCTTGTACGAGATATTCAGGAGACTAATGGGGCGGAAATCTTTGATTTCCTCAGCGCCTTCTTTCTTGGGAACCAGAGCTATGAAGGTTGCGTTTAAGGCTTTGTGCAGAGTATCCCTGTGGAATAATTCCTCGAAAAATTTTAAGAATTCAAGACAAAAGGTGTCCCAAAACTCCTTGAAGGGAGCAATCGGGAATCCGTCGAGACCCAGTGCCTTGTCTTTGACTAGAGCATTGAGAGCCAATAAAACTTCTTCCTCCATGAACTGTTGCTCGAGCCAGGCAGCTTGTTCGCCTGTGAGGGTAAGGAAGTCAAGGGACGACATTCTCGGTCTTAGGCCAGAGGGGGTAGAGTATAGAGTCTAGAAGTACTCTAAAATTGCCTGCTCTATCTCAGCAGGTTGAGTGAGGTATCTGCTATTAACCTTAATCATTGAGATCGAATTGTCTCTCCTGCGACAATTTGCAATGCAATGAAAAAAGGCAGTATTCTAATCACCTGCTTTCAACCAAGTGATTCTAGATCTCTGGAACCAGTAGATCTCTTCTTTATTGAGGGTTAAATGGTACTCAAGTTTAGACTTAGATCGTAGGTCTATATCAAAGGGAGTGGCCTAGTTTCCTCGAGCCGATCAATCTCTTGGTTGGAATACAAGAAGGAGGATTTGAGTTGGGAAAAGTTGCCAGGGATGGATCGACTCCACATTTTGATTGAGGTTCTAAGTATTTGGAGTTTGGTCTAGAGGATATACTCTGCTCTACCCGAGACTTGAGAGCAAGGGAGTTCCACAAGGTATAAAGGAGGGTAGGAAAGTCCTTTTCAAGGAGCCTTTGGAGTTCAAATCTGAAGGGCCTGCGACCTCTCAGGATGGCGGCTGTGTCAAGCAAAATGGGACAATGGTCCGAGGTTTGGAAGGGCTAAAGACCGAAGCTTAACATGGCCATTACAAAAAATTGTGAAAGAAGTCATTTGGCTTTGAGGAATTTTAAGTGACTTGGGCTTATAGCAAGATGGAACTCATTTATTATGGTAATCAAAGTGCAATGCAGTTTAAAAAATAGGTTTATCATGCAAGGGTGAAGCATATTGATGCTTGATAATACTTCATTTCTATGATAATATTTGATTGTCATAACTCTCTATTGAAGATTGGCACCAAGAAGAATGCAGCAGATATGCTGACAAACCTGGTTTAACTACAAAAGCTCAAGGGTTGCTTGGACTTGGTTAATGTTGCTTGGTTGATCAATGCATTCTATAGTATGAATCTTGGTGAAGATGGTTGATGAGCATATCCTTTTCGGTGGCTTGATTGAATTCAAGCCAAGGTGGAGATTTGTTGTATACAACTATGTCTTGAATTCTACGGTGTAACCTAATATATATCGTATACTGCACCTAGGTCTTCATTCCCTAGCCTAAAGCTTATGAGGGTATTTTTTGGCAAATGAATATGTTTCTTTGGGGCTAAGCTAGGGTTTGAGGCATCATATAAGGTTCTTATGTGTTCTTTGCTCAAAAAGAAAAATTTCTCAAGAGAGAGATGTCTTCCGCCTTTTAGAGTTGCTATATTGAAACCATTGATTGTCATCACCCATGTACACCATCACATCCATGACAAGCAACATAAATGTTCGTGTTCTTCTGTTTCATGTTTAGTTCTCATGCTCTAAGTGATTGACTGTTCATGATTTTCTCTCTCTTCCTCATCTCACATTGTCATCTAACCTGCATGCCGCTTTAGGTTTTTCACAAAACAGCCAGTTCATTCATAAGGTGATGGTAGTCAATATCTTTACATGCTTATCCTAGGGAAGGGGAAGTGAAAACACTTATCTATAGTATTCCAATTTTATTGGATTTCTCCAACAAGGGATAGTAAAAATACATTTATCTGCGGTTATTCCCAAGGTGCTTGTTCTAGAGTAATTTCATGGAATTGGAGTACTGGTAGGACATTATAACAATGTTGTGGCAATTGCAGTGTCAAATGTTCAACATACATCACTTGATGGCCCTCAGGTCATGGGGCTACACTGGAGAGCCATGAAGGTGAAATCATCTCCTTTTAAGGATAACTAGGACACACCACCTCTACTAAGGTAGAGTCAATGGCAATTTTGGAGGACCTAAAGTGAGTGCTTCTGGTCCCTTCTAGTCTCGATTCCCTCACTGTGGAAGGGGACTCTAGGAATGTTATCTCATAGGCTCGCTAGATCTCTCAGACTCCACGGAGACAAGCGCATGTTTTTTTACCATATTTACATGCTTTGCAAGAACAATCAGGTCATCTTCTACCAAGTGCTGAGAGGAGCCAACCACATTGCCGATAGGCTGGCCAAGGAGTGTTTTGCTACAGGTTCCTCAACTCTCATCTCTTTCCCATGATGCTTCTGTCCATCTCCCCCGCCTTATTTTAAAGTCTACCTTGCTATCCCTCTCCATTACTCCATTCCCCTCTACTCCGCTCTTATATCTCTCCATGTCTCCTTTTCTCGACTGTTTCAGTAGTTGTCGGGCTATCTCTTATAGGCTACTAGCTTTACAGGTGGTCCTTCACCTGTTTTTGTACTTGAGCTCCCAGCATGTGCATAGCCATTTTTGTATGTTGGAGGTCACATTTTTTGTTCAAGAACATGGGATGTGGGTTGTTTCGACCTTGGATTATTTGGGGCTCTCTCTCTTTCTCTCTCTCTCTCTCTCTCTCTCTCTGTGCTGCCCGTGCCACTTGAGCACCCAGTCTGTGGGCTGCCCACCTGGTGGGCCTTTTTGTGATTTTTGTCTATATATATTGCTAAAGAATAACTTGTTGTGAGTATGGGGGTATTTCTTCCATTTTTACATACTTTAGAATACTCATTTCCATTGAGGGTATTTGTCATTTGTAAACACTAAACAATCATTATAAATAAAGATATTAGCGGGACATAGGGGCTGAATCTCACGTCACTCTCCCCTCTCTTCTCTCTTTATTTTCTGCCTTTTTTTCCTTTTTGTTTCTAATTTTGACATTTTTTACTGTTCTTGGTAGTACCGTTCACAACACTGTTCACAGTATCGTTCACGAGTACTGTTCCTATGTATAAAGTCAACTTGTCTAAAAAAATAACAGCAGCATATGCTGCAACTTCAATAAAGAACAAAAGAAAAGATAATAGAGATAAAATAGAAAAACAGAAATCACAAAGCAAAATGAATTCAAATTATTCATTCCCTAGATGATACTTACATGACTTGCCAGCATGTACCACAATAAATAGTATGCAGCACCAGCCCAGGCAGTTTCAGCAAATACACCAGCCGTCCTTTTCACCTCCGAAGTCAATGGTGAAATTCGGATAAACCTAAAGATGTATTGTACCATGACGACATAACGTAAACCATTTTTTGTGGTCAATACATCTGAACCTTCGGATCCTGAAAGGAATTTCCATACCAAAACCTGCACAAGATAGAGAGGACATAGTAAGTTCTCAAGGCACTGCAATGTACACTCTGTCAACTAAACACTAACAGAAAGGCAGCATAAAGCATAATCGTTAGGTATAATCTAGTTTTTCTTCTTATTAAGCTATTCCTGTCCAAATGATTATAGATGAAAATTTGGAAGTTTTATTTAATACAACAGAACATAGTGAGAGAACAATCTGAGTTGTCATGGGAAGTTATTTCAATAGCCCTTTGAAGCCCATAGACTAAAGTGGAAGACCTTTTGGGGAGCTCGCGTCTAACGAATATATGCATGTTGTGAAAGGTATCCTGGGCAACACAAATTTTACGAATGTGATAAGGAAGTTGGATGGAGATATACTTCATTGTTACAAATTGCCTCTTCAAATTGGATATGCTACTGGGCCAAAAGCAAATGCTACAATAGTAGCAGGGGATCCTGATCAAGGACTTCACTACACCCGTGGTAATGGGGATAACTCCCTCAGAATCATTTAACTTTTACGAGGGGATTATCCAGAACCATGGAAGGTGTATTCACAAAGATAAAGAAAGTTTCATCCAGTCCTTGTATAAATAATGCTTACTCATTCCTAGGAAGCCGAAGGCTGATAGGTTTAGCAAACATGGGTAGATCATAGCCCATAGACTGAAGATTTTGTTTCCTTCTGATTATTCAGCACAGCCTAGAAACCAATTTCCACACTGATCACTTATCACAGTGGGAAAACATACCAGATGTTTGAGGCCGGCAATCGGAATGCCATCGTAGGCTTGTCAGCGCACAAGAAATATTGCAGCCAGTCACCACTTGGTTAAAAAGAAAACAAGCAAATACAATGATACAAGGGCAACAATTTATACTTTAGTTTTCTATGAAAATTGGTCATATATTTCCTACATACCAGAGAAAACAACCAGTTTTTCTCTGGTATATAGGATCCTGGAATGCTTATTTATTTTTCTTGTAATGTTGTTCCTTCAGTTTATAAAAAGACAAGACACAATGTTTTTGCATTCTAGTCCAAAAAGGAATGTCATTGGTCTCTGGTAATGACATCAATTTTTCTGACCAATACAAGTGCTTTTTTTTTTCATGGTTTTGACACCAAAGCCAAATCTTGAACAGTTTTGGCAGAGTAAAACATTTCTTCCATACATAAATCAATTTGTGGATATCAGATACAAAACCTTCACAAATTATCTCTTTTAAGATCACTCCACTACTGAAGCACAAACTAAACGTTAACACATGGTCTTTATGCATGACACTGCAAAGAGGTAGCATCGCATGTTCTGTGCAAAACTTATAAGCCATGATATTCAAACACTTCTTTACTCTTTAACGGATAATGGGTGAATAGGCATTAACCTGAAATCAGCAAAAAATGGCACAAATTCAAACAATGTGATTCTAAGCATAGCAATAAGCATCTTGGCTGCTTCTAAAAGTAGAACTTTTATTCACATTCTGAAAAGAAATGCAATTAAAAATCTGAAATATGTTAGCATTCTGGATTGGCATGCATATGTCAACAGTCAGAACTACAACAGCAATTGGGCAGCACATCTCATGATACTTTCTAAAGTATATCAGCAATTGAGTTGTAATTGACATTCTAGATTCCGTCTGGTTCACATCTAAAAGAAAATGTAATCATAGATCTTCATCATAACCAAACAAGCAGGGAAACAAAGAATTATGACAAAAAATAGTTATATGAGGAGATAAGCTCCAAAGCAATACAGATGATATAAGAGAAGGAAAAAAGAAAATGCTGAAAAGTAACTAAAGTAATCTCAGGTTCTCAACAGGTGCATCCAAGGTATGGGTACTTTTTAACCCAACGAAACAAAGTGACACTTAAAGCAAAGCAGATTTAACTTCTGCCAAGACCAATAATGTAAACCATGCAACAAAGAACTAAATAGACGTGTAAGTTCTAACACTAAATTATAAAAGCAAAACTTTTTTTTTTGGGTAAAAGCAAAACATGGTCAGAGATATATTTAAATAGCCTTTGACCAAGAGCACTGGAATACGTATGGTCCACAAATAACTAAATTAATAACTAAACTAAAATCAATTCGTCTCCAAACAGAGAGAATCAAGATGTTACCATTCAACCGAAAGTACCACTGAAACACAAAAACACAAATCTGAAAATTAACTTCACCTTCTAACCAAGAGCAACAAAGGTACACACAAAAATAGGATATCTACAAGCAAATTTTGTAATCAAAATGGAAAACAATAAATCGAAGGCCAAACCTTGTACCTGTGGAACAGGAACCACCGATAGAAGATCCACTGCAAAGTACTTTTTCAAGTACCGCTCTGCTATCTGACCAGGATCTATCACAAGTTCTCCTCTACCAAAGACCCGGGATGATGGAGCAATGAATGCTGTACGGAATTGTAGACACATGCGAATTACATAGAAAGCATCAAGAAGTGAGCGTAAAGTGGTACACGTAATGGCTAACTTCTTATCTATGCCGAGGCAATTTGATACACTATCGAACACAGGAAGATAAAAAAACAAAGGATCCACAGATACGGCAAGGATGCATGATATCACAAAAAGCCTATTCCATAACTGAAGGAATTTATCTTGAGGATCAAATATCTTCTTTTCTGACACCTTAAGATCCTCTGCAAATGCTACCCTCGAAACTCCAAATCGAAGTGATCGACCAATTGATTTCAATCCTTCAGATCCTTTTCTCATTCCTCTTTTAAAAGAGGTTGATGGACCATGAGATGACTTTCTTAAGCCTTCGATGCCAAACCCACATCTGCTCATTCCATCCCTCTCAGAATCTAGGGATGCTCTGGGGCCTAAATCATCCAGTCTGCAATGCCAACATCAAATAAGACCAAACTGAAAGGAATGTTCATAATCATGAAAAGAAAAATTAATGAAAACCACATATACTTTTAGCATAAATCAAGAGAAATAAGCTCCCTCCACGTTCACTCAAACATGTGCTCAAAGAGAACTGTCTTTGTTGTTTCTTTTTGCTCATGGACAGGGGAAGAAGAGGGTAGATAATATAAATGCCGTAATGAGGATTTTCAAGGAATTTTTATAGATTTCAAAAAAAATGCAATATGTTAAGTCACATGCACACAGACAGATATACATACATACGCACACTCCCACATACACACACATGTTTAGATGGAAGGAAATAGGAAAGAAGAAAACATGAAAAAAGAATAACCGATAAGATTAACAAGAGCAAAGAGCCATCACACCCAAGAGAGAGAAGTATTGAATCTATGAACCGTAAGTTTTCATTTTCCTAATTGTGTTCCAAAATCATACAAATCAAAATCCTAAAATGGACAAACAGAGAGGAAACCTCAACTAGCATTCATGTCTTTTTAAGAAAACAATTAGAATTAACTAAAATAGATTTATTAATGGAACATAGTGTCATAATTTATCATGTCATTATCCACAATTCCACATACATATCCACAATTCCCCACTATAAGGATTCCAGTCCCCAGCTTAAAGACCAAGATAACAACCAAGTTGATGATTTTCTTTATTTATAGCCAACTAGCAATGCAACTATACTTTTGATACAGTTACATTGGTTGTTGGCTATGAATAAAAAGATCCCTAATTTAAAGAGTATATATAGGCCTAGACTATTTATACTCTTTAAGATTGGGATCAAGATCCCCAAAAGTTTGGGATTCGAGATACCTAAACATTTGTGTGGATCTCGATCACCAGGATATGGATCGTGCGGATGACATTCTCAACCTTTGGGATCTTCTAGCTTTCATGATACCCCACTCCCATTCCTAATCCAACTCCTGATCCCAAAAACTCAGGCAGACACAGGACAAGGGCTTACATCTATAACTCCAAACCTACTTTAACACACCATTCTAGGCCAACCAAATACGTCCCTCATATCTTGTGAGGTTTTTTGAAAATAGCGTAAATCGTAATATTATATTGTCACCATCTTTAGAAAAAAAATCTCCACAAGCTCCTTGAAAGCATCTGCAGGGCTTCATAGTTAATTACTACATGTCCTACCCAAAAAAATCACATTTCAAAAAAGCCTAAGGCCTCGCTCACTAGTTCCATTAAGTCCACAAATCCAATTTAATCAGAAAATTCCTTTTTTTCTTAATTGATAAGAAAACATGTACCATACAATCTCATCTCCAACTAAGCTCCTGTTTTTGCCAAGTAAAGAAAAATTAAATTTCAAAGACTCACTCAAGAAAATTGACAACATTAAGATAATCCTAACTTGATGAGCTTCAATACTATTTTATATTCCACCAATCTCAATCTAAATTCTTAACTCTCACACTCCCACACCTGTCAACTCCTCCCTAACTAGCGTCTGCGAAACAAGATGTGCCTTGATATCCCAACCCCCAAACACAAAAGTAAAACAAGTGGGCAACACCTTCAAAGAAAATAAAACTACTCCAACCACTCCAAGAGGGGTTGCCATTTGGAGATCCAGAAAACACACAATATATCAAATCCGTAAATGACAAGAAGGTACTCTATTACCTCTCCGATCTTTTCATATATTATGCAAAACCTAGGTAGCTGGAACACCCAATTCCATAGATGACAAACCATGGAAGCCTTATTTCTGACAATTCCAACTGCTGCCCAAACCAACCACACACAAGATCATGTAAAACCCAACTACATGTGAAATGAGCTCATTAAAGTGACACTCTTAACTTCCAGATCTACACTTCCATCCAAATCCGCCTTGATATGGAGAACATCTAAAACCCAAGTAAGACTTGACAGCAAAATAATCTTCCACTAGATCTCCCCCAACAGATTACACATTATAAACCCTTTCTTTGAAGCCTATGAAAAACAGGCCTCCCTAGTTCCCCTAGTTTACGAAAGATCAAGCCTCATAACCACACGAAAAATATTAAAAACATAATATATTATATCTACAGACCAATGTCTTATATTGCTCGTGTACGTCCCCATTCCCCAACATCCTAGAAGGCATGTTACCACCATTTAACCCCTGAACCACACTGCATTGGTATCCTTCCAATGGCACCTTGTCACTTACCCAAAGTTCTAGTAGAATACTTGTATATCAACGTCTAATACACAACCTCCATCTTTGCTCAGTCTGCAAGCCTCTTCTCATGAGAGTAAATGGATGTAGCCCCCTCTTCTCCTCCAATACAAAGTAATTCCCATCAGAACCTATCCATCTTATCCATCATCAACCTTGCATATCTTTGCTCTCCCTCCTCCCTCTCTCTAACCAGCAAGATACCCCTCCCTTTCTCTATAAAACCCACCCTCTCTACCTCTCTCCCTCACCCTCTCTCTAAATTTTCTACTACGTATGGCTCTCCCACTCCCCTCTCTCTCACACTAGCAAGATTCCCTTCTCTTTCCCTCTATATAACCTAGACTCTCTACTTCTCTCCCTCACCCTCTCTCTACACTTTCTACTGCATTCGGCTCTCCCACTCTCCTTCTCTCTCACACCAACAAGAAGCCCTTCCCTTTCCCTCTCTATAAAACCACTCTCACTCTCAACCTCATTCCCTGTGTTTTGTTTTTTTTTTATCTCAAGTATGTGTTGCATCTATGCTCTGTGCCAGAGACCATCTGGGCCGTTCAATACGCGTACCCATTTACCATACCAATGGCCTCATCTGACATTCACGACCTCATTTCGAATTTAAATTTTCATTTTACAAATCCAAATAACTTGAAATTTTAAGTGTTCATTCTTCTCATCAAGGCACACCTAATAAAAATATTAAAAAATAATTCATAAAATACAAATTGACCAAAATACCCTTGAAAAGTTTTGGGAGTATTTTGGTCAATTTATTTTTTGCATTTTTTTTTTATATTTTTATTAGATTCTCCTATTTTTACATAATAGAAGCTCAAAATTTCAAGTGATTTGGATTTGTAAAAAAAAAATGAAATTCAAATATGAAATGAGGTCGTGACCATTGAATTGGGCCCAGATTCAATTTGGGCCGTTGGCTGAGCTTGTTATGTAATCAGCCTGCTGTGATAGTTATATATAAGCTCATGAACTAATGGATTGCTTACTAGGAAGAACACGAGATTTACATGTACCATTAGAACCAAGATGTCAGAAATGAAGTCTCAAGTAACAAACAAAACGAAAACTTGCTTTTTTGAAAGCCCCAAAAATATATCAACAAGTCAATAAGACAAATTTTCTAGTTAACAAGATGGCCAAAAAGAAAAACAAATATTCAACATCAGAAATCTACTCCAAGATTCAAAAATAAAATAAACTCACATTTGATAAGATAAGTTAAAAGATAAGAAAGAAGTACCTTACAAACTTTTCTCTTTGTCCACCAATCAATTGCGATTTGTAACCACAATCAAACATTTTGCCTATAACAATGTGCTACACCAATACTCATACACAAAGATACACGTTTTTTTATAAGCGGTCCAATCATAGCAAGAAAAGCCCAATATGTCGGAGGCCACAAAGATCCCTGCAGAGATACCATTGAGCTATAAAATATTTAGTGGTCACAAATACAAGAAAACCAGTGAAAAGTAACAAACCTTGAGCCACCTCACATATATCTTAGAAGTTTATAACTCCCATGCAAATGCCTAAGAGACATAGAGTCTAAAAAGTCCAACTAATCGCCACAGAAGAAAATTGACGACCGACAATCTAAGCGAAGGGTTATCACTTGAAGTGAAAAAACCTTACACCTTCATCATTTTGAAAGAAAATGCTTGACTATGTTCACTTGATACACAAATTTTTTTGGAGCATTTGTGCATCTTTGATGAGTGTGATTGCTAAATAATTTTAAAAATAAATAAATGGCAAGCTAATTGATTGCCATTAGGGAGGTATTCTACACAAAGGGAGTTATGCAGGGAAATAAAGAAATAAGGCAAAAACAGTTCAATAAAATGTCAAAACATACCAAATTTGAATAGATCTAGCTTTCCTTGTACAAAAAAGTGACCCCAAAACCCTAGAAAGTGCTTGTTGTTACTATTCACAGCCTGCTTTTATTGTTCACACCCCCAACAGTTGTTAGAAACCCAAGACCCCAGCCTCTTTCATTACATTATAATTAAAAAAGATCAAACTACCCCCGCTTAAGGTAAATCATCATAAAAAAACCCCATATGTCCCTTCACTTACAAGAAAATTCATAATGATACTTCTACCCCTAATAAAACAAGTACTTCCCCAAGTATTCTAACAACTTTTCTAAACATCTCCTAAAGTCCTTAAAATTATAAAAAAATCCTAAAATCCCTAAAAAAACTTAAAAACACTATAAAAAATTCAAAAAATACATCCTTAAAATTTAATATGAAAATTTCATAAAAAAGAGGCATCTTGTCTTACATTAGGGATGTCCATAAATCGTTTAGGCATTCCCTAACTAAGACCAAAGGTTCAGAAGTTCAGTCTTACAATGTCTCCACATCTAGTTTATAGATTAGATCATTAGACCCAATTCATAAACTAAAATCTAATGTTTTACACCTCATGCACAACAAACAAGGCACCATCTAGAATCAACTTTCTTTTCTTTTCCTTTTTTTTCGGTGATTCTACTTCAAATGAAACCATTTGGACAATTAAAAATGATTCAAGGAATTACTTAATCCTTCCCAGTCGGACTTTGGCCGTTGCTTTTTACAAACATAGCACAACATTGAGAGCTTAAATGAAGTCTCAAATATTTTAGGGATAAGCGATATGGTTGTTTAATTCCTCAGAGGTAAGCATCAACTTGACTTCAAAGGAGATACCAAAATGCCGAAAAGAGAGCCATGGAGAAGACATTTAAGATCCCAAGCCCATCCCCACTCACACAAAGTATAACAGACCTGACCTCATTCTCTACAAGACCTCAAAAGCCAGATAAAATTATTCAATAAAAACCCCAACTCCATGCACTCCAGCGAAGAGGGAACTCATCTTCAATGGTATCCAGACATTTGCAAAAGGTCAAAATTGGCAGGTAATTCTCATCTTAATACACGATTCCATTTCCCACTGTCACAGTATCAACATGTTTTTCCTTAAACAAGTACTAGCCATTTTAGAAATCAATCTCTTATTCCCTAGTTCTGGCAATTCCTTTTGAAGGTACTTGACAATTTATGAAAAACCATGTCTAATGAAAAATCTAATGTATTTGCATTCTTGCAAAGAATGCAAAAGAGATGGTGAACCACGTCATGTTACCTGGCATATGAACTATAGCCTTACATGGGACATGCCTTAGGCTAACTCCTAAAGGATGACAAGAAGGAAAATTAATTTGCTAGATGGAACAAGTAACAGGTAATTGATCATTATAATGATGGACCTGTTAGCCAACAGTTCTTAAAGGAACATGGAAGGAAACAAACAACGGGGATTTTTCCATTGTCACATACAAATTTTGTAACAAATGAGAGGTCCTGGAATAAGAATGGATGTCTTAGTTAGGTTAAAAACCTATGTCAGTTTAGGAGCAATGTTATATACAATCATTAATTAGTTCTAAAGCATGAAACACTTTCTAAAACAATTAAGAACCTTACTCCATTTTCATTGCTACTGATGTTGTTGTTATAGTACTGATGACTCCTCCCCCTATCAAGCATGCCTCAGTTCGTATGCTCATCTGAGCAGCTTGATGCACATAGTTTCCACTTACTAATATTATATATATATATATATATATATATATATATATATGGATGAGGTTTTTATAAGCCCTAGGCTATATGAGAACAAAATAAAGCCTCACCTCAAATGCTAGTCGGGAAAGCACTTTCAGCAAAGAAAATATTCATGATGGCTCTTAAATTAATTTCAACACCAACAATAAAATTTTAAACAAAAAAAATGGTACAGATCTTGCGAATCTGTGAACACTTATGTTTAAAGCGAAACGAAAGGTCTAGATCATTTGAAAATAAAAATTGCACTATAGCATGGGAGTCGTCGAAGACTGAAGGTTCACCTCAATGTTGTTGGAATCAATCAATCTTTTGACAATAAGAGAGAGCAAAGTTTGCAAAGAAACTCTCGACGTCTTTGAACCCCAGTTCAAATTATTTTGCAATAGAGCTAACCTGTATCACATTTCAAATATAGTTATAATCCAGAATGATAAGCATTAAGTGCTCAATTTTTTGAAACGAAGAACACTAATAAGTAGTCACTCATGCAAGAAACAATAAATAATAAATGTGAATTTTTTGTGTTTATATGAAAACAGGATACCTTTATTTATAAATATTAAATGTGTGTAATGTAATAAAGGGAAAAATGATATTTTTTTTCTTTTCTTTTTTCTTTTTGAGGTGTTGGGAAACATGATTCGCCACATGAGACATTTTTAAAATTTAAAATAACTAATAGAACTACAAAAATGTAATGGTGAACAATCCATTCAAGCACAAATGAAAACAACTGGTATCACTCATTCCAACTCCTCTAGCATGGCTAACTCAAAATATGGACTCGGCCAACATCACATTCTAATAAGATCTGAGTAACGCACTAGCACTGAATACTAGCAAACTATAAAATTAAGCTGTACTTTACACTACCAAACATACAGGAATCAATCAAGTGCAAAGTTAACTTTGATATAGGTCTGTATCAAAGTTTGAATGACAATGACATAATTTAGGCCTATTACATAATACAGCTCTTTATAAACTTTGATATATCCATTGTAGACATAATTTAGGTCTATTACATAATACAGCTCTTTATAAACTCAGTCACTTTGACATATTCCTTGTTCTACAATGACAGTGTGACAAAACATAATAAAGCCCCTTGTAAAATTTGATCAGTTTCCTCGATTTTCAATGAATTACTTGGTGTGTCACAATATGTAATACAGTTTTTATAGAAGTCAAATTAGTTTCCTCAATCTACAATGAAATACTTGGTTTGTAACGAAACATACCACACTTGCTTGTAAAACTCTCCTCAATTTATGATGAAGTACTTGGTCTCTCATAAAAAGGTCAGTAAGCAATACCTCAAAAGGAAATGCATTTGTTAGAAGCCATTTCATATTTGAAATTACACAAAAAAATAAGCATAAGAACTCAGAGCAAATTGGATATTATAGAAAATAAAAGTAAACAGTAGTACATATCATTGTGCATATAGTATAGTATAGAAACTAGTACTGTAGTGTACTATATTGTATTGTAGTATATAGTAGTATAATATGTGTGTGTGTGTGTGAGCCACACACACACTATAGTATCATAAAATATGTCTGCGTGCACACACATTGTAGTACTTTACTATATACTAGTTGTACTATCATATAGTACATAATGCTATACATATAAAACTGTTTTTTTCTATGGTTAACACCCGATCAATCGAGTATGGTCCTTGCAACTTGGGATCATGATCCCTAACATTGGGGCCAAAGATCCAAATTTTAAAATTTAGCATCCCTTGAAAACCCCTCTCTTGGGGAGCCAGAACAAGATTATGGAGCGGAATCGCCATCCTAATTGGGGAATTAGTTAGGGAAAGTTGCATGGGTCATAAATATCAAGTATCTCCTTGGCAAACTTAGGAATCGAAGCGAATTGTGGAAAGCATGGGAAAACAATAGAGTTGGATAGAACTGAGCATGTTGTCAATTATGAAATTGTAGTGTGATCCATCTATATTGTCTACAACTTATAGACATAGGATACACCTTTTAATCTTCAAGTGAGACAATATTGTTTCACTAGTCCTAATAACCAAGACAACCTAGTGGCAACTTGCATCAAATACTTCCTAAGTTTGCTTGATTGGTGGGAAATATTTTCTTATGTTATTCAGAGACTCCTCCTTATGCCGACTTTTTAATCAATAATTCCTACTTAAGCAAATTATGGACTCATCATCATCATAGCCTTTTCCCAACTATTTGAGGTCGGCTACACCAATCCTTGTCCGCCAATCTGCTCTATCAAGGGTCATACCCTCAATGTGGCCATAAGTCCCCATAAGGAAATTATTGACCACATTAGGAAATTATGGACTACAATTCTTATAATATTTAATGCTATATGGACCCAAGGAAGAAATCCTTCTTCATTTTATTTTAATATGAGGTGGTTCAAGAGTCCAAAATTAAGGGATTCAGTCGAATAGTTAGTTAGATTCATGCAGCTAAAATGTTACAAGGAATATGATATAACCGTAACAAGTCAAACCCCCACATTGTAAGTTGTATTATTCAGCTCATTCCGTGAACAACATTAACCAAAGCATGATTCAACCAGGCAATTAACCATGACACTTGTGAGCCTAATCATTATCCTAGCAAGGTCATTACTACAAAGGCTATAACACAATCAACAATTAAGAAAACCATGTACTCCTGCATTCTTAATTTTTAAGTCCAGTATCAAGCTGTATTGGGGTCGCGCAGAGCCTCGAACCTAGCTCTGGTTCACCCCAACCTTCTTTTTGGTGGCTTGGCCCTCATCTTCACCCTACCTTCCTCTCTTTCTTTCTATCCGTTTAACCTTGACTCCCACTCTCCCGAGGGCTCCAAGCCTATCCCAACTCTGAAGATGGATAACGACTTCTTCCCAGTTGGTATTGACACTGCCCTTTCGCTAGACCCCTCCCCTCCTGATGCAGCCTCAGCCATTGACATCCTGGCCCCCCACCTTTCCTTTACCCCTCACCTTGTTTGGCCCCCAGATTCCCCTTACTCCCTATCCTCTTACACCTCCATCCGGACTTATCAATTCCTGACTTACGTTCCTACCATCTACTTCCTACCAATTTTTCTTGCCCATTTCTCGGCTTAACCCACTAATCCTCTTGCTCAAGATCTGGAGATCACCCCGGTAGTTAACCCTCCTCCCTCCCCCGTTCCGTTTTGTACCCCCGGCCAACCCCTCCTTCCTTCGCCTCCCGTCTCTGAACCTGTGCTGGCCTTCTCTCCTCCCGTTGCACTAGCCCTAGCTCCCCTCCTCTCCTAACCCTACCCTCTGACCTTTACCCAACGGAACAGAGCCTTGCCTCATCCGAAGAAACTCTCGATGAACCATGGCCTCTAGGTGCCAAGGACGTAGAAGAAAGTCCAGATGTCAGGTCTAATCCGGATGATGATAGGATGAGAACTATGTATAGGATTATAGGTTTTGAGCACAATGGACCTGAAGGACCAGCTCGCAAGTTCATCACCGCTGGTGCAGAGAGCAAACTGCAGGTAAGAATCAAAGGTCAAAGAGAGCTTTGCAACCTTTTCTCTTCCTTTCCTTTCCTAGAGAAATTAATGATTTCAGCCCCTCCCCATCCATTCTTGGTCGTCCGAGGAGGTCCCCTAGACTATCCTCCTCCCCAACTTTCACCGGTCTCAAATGAGGCTGCTCATTTGGAATATTAGAGGCCTTGGTGAGGACTTTAAGAAAGACGCAGTCAAAGCCTTTACCCTGAAACACTCCCCAACTATCTTGGCCATTCTTGAAACCAAACAACCTGAACCTGACCTTAAGATTGTTCGTCGGGTCTGGGGCAGGAGACCTTGCCAGTGAGTCTCGTTGTCGTCTGATGGAGCCTTAGGAGGTATATGGGTGATCTGGAACCAATCAGACCTTTCCCTCCTCTCTCATTTCGTAGGGGAATTTTCTATTACCCTCCTACTTTCTAATATTTCAGATGGAACTCCCTGGAAATTTCAGACTGTTTATGGCCCCAATTCCAACAACTTCAGACAAAAATTGTGGACTGAGTTGGATCACATAGCCTCCCTTCCACATCCCATTTGGTGTGTGGGGGGAGATTGTAATGTGGTCCGCTGGTCCCACGAGAGGAACTCCTCGTCTTCTATCACCCAATAAATGAGGAATTTTTCAGATTTTATTAACTGTAATCAGCTGATTGATAGCCCTCTCCCAGGCCGCAATTACACTTGGTCCAACCACAGTTCTAACGCCACCCTCTCTAAACTTGATAGGTTATTGATTTCTGCAAACTGGGAGGAATTTTTCCCTAGATCGCAATCGCCCAACCCAAACCTACTTCGGACCACTGTCACATCGTTCTCGATACGAAAGCTATTATAAGGGGCCCTCGACCCTTTCGATTCGATTTGCACTAGCTTCTTGAGAAGGACCTCCCAACCCTTGTTAAATCCTTGTGGACTTCCTTTAATTCTCAGGTCTCGGGGAGAGCAGGATTTATCCCTCAAAGAAAAATTCAGCTTCTCAAAGGAGCAAAACCATCCCTGAGAATTTCGTGCAAAAAAAGTCCTCATTACTGGAAAACATCAAGAACCTTGACGAAATTGAAGAGACCAGTCCCTTAGACGTCTCAGGACTAGATCTTTGGTCTAAGACTAAGATGGAGTACCTCGCCACCTTGAAAAAAGAAGAAATCTTTTGGTTTCAGAGATCCAGAGTTTCGTGGCTGAAAGCAAGGGATCATAACACTGGCTTTTTTCATCGGATAGCAAATTGTCGATGCAGAGACAACGCTATATAGATAATAAAAGTCAGCAATTTTTACATTACCCAAGCTGGTGATATTCAACAAGCCATCCTTCACTTCTTTTAGAACTTATACTCAGCTCCCTCGGAACCCAAACCAAGATTCTTGACCTTAGACTTCCTTTCTCTCAATGAAGACCAAGCAGCATGGCTAGAGCGACCTTTTGCTGAATCTGAGATTCTTAAAGCGGTCAAAGTTCTAGCAAACGACAAGGTCCCTGAGCCTGATGGCTTCCCAATTGCATCCTTCAAGGAGTATTGGGACATAGTCAGCAATGTTTTAAAATGCGGCCGCATATGCGGCCGCATCATGCGGGATGCACTCGCATCCGCATCCCGTTCAGTCGCATATGCGCTTTTGACAGATGCGGCCGCATCATGCGGGATGCGCTCGCATCCGCATCCTGTTCAGTCGCATATGCGCTTTTGACAGATACAGCCGCATCATGGCCGCATCTCGCCCGCTTCACGGGCGCCTCCATTCAGCCGGTTATTTTCTAAACCCATCTCTTCACTACAAGCACCCATCCATTGAATCAGATCGTGTAATAAATGGTGGGTTCTTAGATGTGCTGAAGAGGTTGGTGCCAAACAAAGATATCCAGGATGAGATCTAGAGCCATGAATTGATTAAGTTCAAGTTAGCATTTGGAAACTTTGGGAGAGATATTGCCGCTCGAAATAAGGACACTACAGATCCAGGTAAAGGCCAAAAGCCCAAAAATAATCTTACTTGTCTCTTACTTTATGTATAGTTCCATTATTTATTTTATGCCCTTAATTTTTAACTATATTCTAAATTATAAAATATTATACAGCTGCATGGTGGGCATTAAGTGGAAGCGAGACCAAATCTACAACGTCTTGCTATTTGAGTGTTGAATCTCACATGTAGCTCGTCTGGTTGTGAGCACAATTGGAGTGAATTTGAGCAAGTAAGTCCTTTACTCCTTATTCCTTAATCCTTATTTCTTGAATTTCAATTTTCGAATCTAAAATCTAATTTATCTAATTTCAAATTTCTACCACAACTCCATACAAAAAAAAGAAATAGGTTGGAGTAGAAAAAGTTGAATGATTTGGTTTATGTGCAGTATAACGAACAGCTTAGGGAGAGGTATGAAAATCGCACGAAGCTCAACCCTATTCAATTATATGAAGCTGATGGTGATTCCATAAGAGAGTGAACCGTGGATCCAAGACAAGAGCGTGTGTTTGAGGGTGAGGATCTTACATGGCTTGATGTCGAGCTAGTAACAGGGGTTAATGAAGAAGATCGACCTAACACTAGAGCACAAAGGAGTCGAGGAGCTGCTGGGTCTAATCACACTCGCAAATTAGCTTCAGAGGTCGAGGAGGAAGCTGACTCAGAAGAGACCGATGAAGAAAAATACATGGAGGCCGTCGAGGATGATATTGATGATGCGCATGACGACTCTCAAGATGACTGTCTAATTGATATTTGACAAAAAGAAGTTCAAATTTCAAAATTGACTCTCAAAATGGATGATTGTATTAAGTTATTAACTATTACCTCTTCTTGAGCTTGACTTTTGGTTTGTATTTTGTAATATCACTATTTTGTGCTTATGGTTGTACTTATGGTTGTTGATGGTTGTGCTTATGGTGCAAATTTATGCTTATGGTTGTTGATTGTTGAATGCTTTATGAAGCTGGTTTCAAGTTTCTAGTTTCCATCAAGGGATAGTGGATAACTAGATACAGAATCTCTGACAGGTAATAGTTTTGAAGTTAATCATTAAACTAAAATACCTACTATCACATATATCACCTTCATATTTTTTTCTATGCATTAACTTATTTTTTTAGAATTTTTTTACATTTATTGACTACATCATCGCGATGCACCCGCATCCGGGCTGCATCGCCGCATCGGCCCCCCACCGCATCAGGGCCGCATCCCACACTTTAAAACACTGATAGTCAGCCAGGACTACGTCAAATTCTTCGAGGAATTCTTCCATAGGGGCATTTTATATAAAGCCATGAATGCCACTTTCCTAGCCATGGTGCCCAAAAAAGGAGTTAAGGATATTACAGATTTTCGGCCTATCAGTCTCCTCAACTCCTCTTACAAGATCTTGGCTAAGGTTTTAGCGTCTAGACTGGGAGAAAGCATATGACCATGTGGTTTGGTCAATTTTGGATGCTATTATGGCCATAATGGGTTTTGGGGAGAGATGGAGGAATTGAAGAAGGGGCTGTTACTCGAACCCTCACTTTTCCACCTCATTAATGGAACCCCTGTAGGCTACTTCCCCTCATCTAGGGATCTTAGGCAAGGAGATCCCCTTTCTCCCTTCCTCTTTGATATAGCGGCTAAAGTTTTCAGCAGATCCATTGCTCAGGTCTACCAAGCTGGCCTTATCACAGGTTTTAATCTAGTAGACAGGGGCCCACTATCACTCACTTACAGTACGCGGACGACACTTTAGTCTTCTTGGATGCTACTTTTAGTGAAGTAAAAAATCTAAAGATTTTCTTTAGCTGTTTCCAATCTGATACTAGGTTCAAGATTAACACGAAAAAATCCTGCATGTTGGGGGTAGCTTTATTACTTGGCCAGATTGGGGATCTCATTTCAGACTGGGAATGTAAATTCCAAAATCTGCCTACAACCTACCTGGGCCTTCCCTAGGGTGTTAGTAAACCAAGAAAGCCGCTTTGGTCCCCTGTGCTAGACAAGGTCGATTGTAGATTGACTGGGTGGAAGGGTAGATACCTTTCCTTTGCATGAAGAACCACCTTGATAAAAGCCACCCTAGCAAACAACCCAATCTACCTCATGTCCTTTTACCAAATGCCTGCTCAGGTGGCGAGTCGCCTGAACCAACTCATGAGGAATTTCCTCTGGTCTGGGCAGGAAGACAAGAAGAGATACCACCTGGTGGCTTGGAACAAGGTTTGCAAACCAAAAGAGCAGGGAGGTCTTGGGATAAAGGTATTGCACAAGCACAATGCAACGTTATTTGGGAAGTGGTGGTGGTGGCGCTTAGCCACTCAGCCAAACGCCCTTTGGGCGCAGGTCTTAAAACACAAATACAAGACCGCGTCTGAAAATTGGCTCCTTGATAGAGTGCTAGCCCATAATACCTCAAGGGCATGGAAGTCATTCTTGACTGTCCTATCCTCTTTCAAGAGATACATTAGGTTCCACTCGAGAGAAGGGACAAGAGTTAATTTTGGCTTGATCCATGGCTAGGGACTTTCCCCCTCCGTGAGGCCTTCCCAACTCTCTTATCTCTTGCACAAAACCAAAAGTCTTATGTGGCACAAGAGTTTAGCACCTTGAGAGGTCGCAAAGTTTGGAATCATTCCTTTAGAAGGAGCCTTAACGAGGTCGAAACGGCTGATTTCCAACGACTTCTCAACTCCCTGCACCCTCACTTCTTCTCTGCACAAGGAAATGATGAAATCATTTGGTCCACTATTGCTCCACCCAAAGTTCAGGCCTTCAACTGGCTCGCCTTCTCAAAAAAAGCCCCCACAGTTGACCAACTACAAAGAAGAGGAGTGCCCATTCCGAATAGGTGCGTCTTGTGTGAATGCGAGGAGGGAACTAATTCCCATTTGTTCCTGCTTTGTGCCTTCTCTTCAGACTTATGGGGCAAGGTTTTACAATTTTTTGGCTTACAATGGGTTACCCCTCCCTCGGTAACAGCCCTCCATTCCTCCAATTTTGAATCAAGCTGGCCAAAGGCTGCTAGAATCTTGTGGAAAGCAACCTTAGCTGCTACCATTTGGCTACTTTGGCTGGAAAGAAACTCCAAAATTTTTCGAGGGACAATTCCGACCATTTTTCAAAAGGTTACCACCCTGGTGACCTTTTGGGCATCCAACTTGAAGTTCTTTGCTGGTATTCCTGGATCCTTCTTCCTTTCCCATTGGGGAAGTATCCTTCATCACCAACCACCAGGGGCAGCTAAGCCAAGTCTCTGGTTACCACCGAGCCAAGGTAGCATCAAACTAAATTTTGACGGGTGCTCCTTGGGGAACCCCGGCTCAGTAGGGGCTGGTGGAGTTTTCAAAGACTTTGAAGGCAGTATCCTCCTCACCTTCTCCTATTACCTCGGCTTCAGGGACTTTAACTATGCGGATGCCTCAGCCCTCCTCATTGCCCTCAAAAAATTCAACTCCACCTGGGGCTCAAGCTTGATAGTGGAGGGTGACTCCAAGAATGTCATCTCTCGGGCCAGTAGGACTTGTGATCCTCCTAATTACTTGATACAAGTGTTTGACAAAGTTCAACAACTTTGCAGGGCTATGGACGTCTCATGGCAGCATACCTGGCGGACGTCCAACAACTTCGCGGACCGGCTGGAGAAGGAGGGTGCTAGAAGACGGGGCAAGGCAGCCCACACTGGTTCCACATCCTTTTTTGCTTTGGACCAATGAAGCCCTTGTTATTTTTTGGGCCATTTTAGTTTTCCTAGTCATTGTACTCGAGAGGGGGGGCATTTTTATAAGCCCTTTCCTCGTCTCTTTTTGTAGATCATTTTTAGGAGGGGAATCCTTTTACTGTACAGGGGTTTTCGTTCTTCTTTAACCGGGGGTCCCGTCTAGTGGGTTCGCCCGGTGTTACTATACTTGTACTTCCCTTTCTCAGCAATACAAATGTTAACATTATAAAAAAAAAAGCTGCATTGGGAAATGAACATAAATATTCCATTTAGAATATGGTAGAAAGGAAAAGAACAAGAGCCTGGAATATCGGTATATCCAAGTACAGGGAGCAATAAAAATTTTAACAAGGGAATTAGTTATCAAAAGAGAACAATGAAATTTAAGGGAACTAGTTCCATAAGAAGTTTCAAAGAGTTAGACTTCGATAAGTCGCCTAGTATAATAGTTTGGCACCAAACAATTTATTATCTAATTCACTAAACCCAAGTGATGTACTAATGTGTTTTTCGAGGTGGGAAACTGGGTTTGTTTCTGAAGAACATAAACAATGAGATATACCCAAAAAAAGGAGCGAAAAGGATTAAAAAAGAAAAACAAAAGCCTTTGATTAACCTTGCCTAAGAAAGGCACCAATTTCTCGTTCTCCGAAGGAAATAAAAAATTTAAATCACAAAACTAATTTGATGGTTTTCATCAATTCTCGTTCGAGGAAGAAAAAAAGGACAAAGCATGTATCAGACAAATCCCCTAAGCCAAAAGAGGATACTCATATTGAACAAAAAAAAAAAAAAATCAGATCCAAGCAAAATATATTTTTTCCCTTTTTCACTATGCCAAACAAAATCACACAAAAAAAAAAAAAAAAGAAAAATAAAAATAGAAAAGAAAAAGAGAAAACCTGAACCAAGAGATAGAAGAGTACAGATGATGGTCCTGATCAAAAAAGCCGTCAAGAAACATAGATCTGAAAAGAAATTAAAATAACAAAAATCAATCCAAAACATAAAAAGACTAACCAAAATATTGCAGCCAAAACCCTAAATCACACCAGTGAATGAAGAGAAACGAAAGAGATCTTCAAATACAACAATCCGTCAGAGAAAATAACAACAAGGAAAAGAGAGCCACTTAGTTCCCAAACCCCTAATGAATTACAAACCTAAAACGCAGAGGTGAGAGAGAGAGAAGGAGAGCACCTTGTGAAAGTCTTCGTTTTATTTTGAGGCGATATCATAAAACTCCTCCGAATTTATTGAAGGGGTCAAATTGTCCCCTACTAACAACGTTTGTCGTTGCCTTTTCATTTGAGATTTATGTCCTATAAAAAAAAATTAAAAAATATCTAAATTGCCCTCATTCTATTAGTCAGCAGCATTAGTTTGACTCCCACGTCCGAATATGTCTACTGCTGCAACGTGGCAGGCTAGGTGGACAGGGCTACTCCTTGTCCTAGCCCTATCCCAAGCCCTTATAGGCTTTCTTTGGCCCTACCCTGTGTAAAGATTGGGTCGAGCTCAATAAATTTTTTATTTAAAAATAAAGAAATAAAAGTCCGAACTGGGGCAATCTTGTACTGGCCCCGGCCCAAGACAACCTTGCCAGTGGCCGAACCCTAGGGCTACATTTTGTAGCTTCAGTATTCCGAATACCAAACCAAGGCTATGTGGGTGTTTTTAAAGTATGCCTTAATAAAGATAATTTAACCCCGTTAATAATTTTATAAGGTTTTTTATCCGTTCTAATGATATTTCTCCTTATTTTTAAGAGCATGTTTAATAATTTAATTTTAGCTTTTCTTATACAGCTCAAATTTTACGTGTTCATATTTCTCTTAGTTAGGCATATTATGGTTATTTTTGTCGTTTTATTTATTTATGAGTATTAGATTTATATTTATATTTTTGTGAAAAGTACGGGTACCCAAACTTTGAGTTCGATCCCATGTATAAAATAAATAAATAAATGTGCTCTTAAGAAAAATGAAACGTAAAAATAAAATATAAAATATTAGGATACGTTCCAAAATTTTGAAAAATACATCTACATCAATTCCTTTAATTTTAAATAAAAAAAGTATACAAATAAATTACTTGTGTCTAGTAAACTATTTTACTTTTGATGCAAGTGCTCGCGGCCATCCATTTTTTGCAAACATAAAGCCGGTGTGGTGCTAGGTAGGTGAGGGTAAAACGGTCTTTACCTTAAACCACAGCATCTCTACAAGAACTGATGCAAGGCGAAATTACAGTACACTTTTTGCTGAATTCATTTTAGCCCGGTTCATTTTTTACGACATCCATCTTTGCACTTACTGGATGCTGAATCATGAATAAGTTTTCCTTTGTTGAATGGTGAACATTGAGGATGTGAGCCTTTAGAGTGGTGGCAAGGGTCTGTCTTAAAATTAAAATATTTATGTATTTAGCTATATTTAAACATTTCTCATATATTGGGATTCAAAAAATATTATTGGATCAAGACCCGAATCTGAATAGTATTTGAGTCCAAAATTTGAACCCGATGTAAGTTTATCCACGCTTGAAAAATCAGAAAATCAAGTCCCAACTCGACAAGCGTCCGAATCGGATTTCCCCCCAATCGAACTCAGTTTGGCTACAAAGAGAAAAAAACAAAAAAAATCATTAGAACAGCACTTCAAGTTGTGCACCTGTTGTTTGAATAATCACCGCTCTGTTATGATCGAACTCATTCAATTCTTTGAGTAATCAATGAAACAATTACTAAACCCTCTCCTTCTCAAAAGCTCTCCGTCGGAGTGAGAGAGGGGCGTCAAGATTGTAAAAGTGCAGCAGGCGCAGGGGATCTGTGTGCTCTCTCCTCTCTCACTCCATCCTTAAACCTAAATTCTCTGGCCTTTTCTACCTCGACTCTGCCATTAAAACTCGATTAAAGCTTCAAAGATCGGGCAAAGAATCCCTAAACACAGCTTCAAAGATCGGGCAAAGAATCCCTAAACACACCATTTTTCAGAGCCTTTTTTTCCCTCCGTAAAATGTGCTAGGTCAGCCATTGTTGAGGGTTAAAAAATGGGTGAGTAGGCCATTCTTTAACTCTTATACATGTTTGCCTAGACTGTGATTTCTTTGCATCTGTGTTTCCTCTGAGAATTCTGGCGTTTATTTATTTTCCATTTTTTCCCCTACCAGTAAAACTGTATTAAAAGCTATCAAGATCGCATTAACATGGTTTTTGTGGAATTACTATTACCAATTATTTCAAGTCCCGGTTATCTTTTCATGAACATGTAAAAGTTTACATGATAGTTTTATTTCTTTTTTTTTTCCTCTTTGGTGATTTCTTAATCTTGCTTTTAAAGAGATGAGCTTGTTTTTTGTATTTTTCTTGAATATTTTTCTTTTTTATTGCTATTGTGTTCTGTCTCTGCAAATTCAGTGTCCTGACTGTGAACGCCTGTGAAAATGGAAGATTTTCATGGTCTTTTTCTTGTTTGGTTTTTTAAAGTCTCTTCGTTTTTTATTTTATCCTGCTTCCATGGACTTTAGCTATTTCCTCGTGCTTGAATTATTTATCCAGAATGGGGAATTGACCTCCGTTTTTCAGATATTCCATACATTTGTTTTTCTGATATTTTGTCGGAGGGTTTTTTTTAAAAAATTTTGATATTTTAAGAAATTATCATTTGGCTCAGCTCGGCTCAGCTCTGCTCAGATCAGCTCGGCTCCCATCTGCTCGGCTCCCGCTCCCCTAAATTTCTCTCAGATTGAGCTGAGTCAAGCCAGTACAACCTGAGCCGAGCCGTTCAATGTCAGCTCAAGCCGTTAAAAGCCGAGCAGAGCCGAGCCGAGCTAAGGGTAGTCTATGCAAGCCGAGCCGAGCCGAACTCATAAAAGGGAGAGAGAAAAATCCAGAAAAAAAACATTATTTCTAAAACATCAAAAAAAAAAAATGCCCCTAAAAATTAACTTGATCGCACCTTTGATATGTTTCAAAGACGCATCTATAATGTCCAGCCTACGCAAGATTGAGTTGGCGACTAAGAATTTGCAATTCATCGGCTTGAAATTTGGTCAGTAGTGTGTCGATAATGAGGAAGAATGCATTGGATAATGCTTTTAAGGCTAATGACCACAATATGGGAGTTCGTAAGTCAGCTTGCAGCTTGAAGGGCACTTGTCTAATGGTAAGGTGCAGTGTTCAAACTCCTCTGTTTTTTGTCCACACTCCCTTTCTTCTTCTCATTCGGTTATTCCCCTCTTTCTCTCTCTCTCTCTCTCGCTCTCAGATCAAATGTCTCTACCTAGTTCAGATTAGTATGAAGCAGAGAGACTAATTTCAAGCAAAATTTTGTTGTGGAATGAGTTAAAAAGATGAAGGTCACAACCGACTGAATTTTGTTATGATCCATCATTTCAAGAGGATGAGTTACTTGATCCCACAAGGGCCCAAATTTTGTTCTCAGTTCTAAATCTGCATGATAATTTGAAGCTTACAGTATTGGTTTTAATCAGATCCATTTCCATGGTATGGGCAACTCTCCTACTCCGCCTCCACCTCAACCACAATCGCGCTCCCTTTCTTCTCTTTCTCCGGGCCATGAGAACTACTCCGCTTCCCTCAAAACCAGATCATGAAGTTACCATTCATGGCTCCAAAGATGACTACTTTGCCGTTGTACACCATATCTCCAACATAGTCAGGAGGGACTACTTCCTGGAGCGAACCCTGCAAAAGCTAAACCTAACCCTAACTCCTGAGCTCGTTTACAGAGTCCTTCGCTCCTGCAACAAAAATGGCATCGAGTCCTTTCGTTTCTTTAACTGGGCTCGAACCCATGCTTCATATCACCCCACAACTATTGAATTCGAAGAGCTCATAAAAACCCTAGGTCAAACCAAAAATTGGGAAACCATGTGGAAAGTTGCAGACCATATGAAAATTCTGGGGTTTCCTTTGTCTCCAGAGACATTCTCGGCTGTTATGGATTCTTATGGTAAAGCTGGGCTTTTAGATAGGGCAGTCGAGGTCTTCAATCGAATGAAACATTTTGATTGTCCTCAAACTACTGGGGTGTACAACTCATTGCTCTCTGCTCTTTGCATGGTCAAGAATTTTCAGGGGGCTTATGCCCTAATTCGACGAATGATCAGAAAGGGAGGGCATCCTGATAAGCAGACTTATGCTATCCTGGTTAATGGCTGGTGTTCTAGTGGAAAACTCGGAGAAGCTCGAGAGTTTTTAGAGGAGATGAGCAAAAAGGGCTTCAATCCCCCTGTTCGAGGTCGAGACCTTCTTATCGATGGGTTACTGAATGCTGGTTATCTTGAATCTGCAAAAGAATTGGTTAAAAAAATGACAAAGGAGGGGTTTTTACCTGACATTTCAACCTTCAATTCTCTGTTGGAAGCTCTCTGCAACTCTGGAGAAACTGAGTTTTGTATTGAGCTACTTAGGGTTGTTACTGAACTGAGTCTTGTTCTTGATATTGGCACTTACAAAATTTTGATCCCTGCTGTTTCGAAATCGGGCCAGATCGATGAGGCTTTCCGGCTATTGCATGCCTCCATTGAGGATGGGCACAAACCATTTCCTAGCCTTTATGCACCATTGCTCAAGGTTCTGTGTAAAAGGGGCCAATTTGGTGATGCATTTAGTCTTTTTGCTGATATGAAAGCAGAGGGCCACGCACCAAATAGGCCTGTGTATACAATGTTGATGAGAATGTGCTGTAGAGGTGGGCGGTGCGTGGATGCTGCGAATTATTTGGTGGAGATGGTGGAGCGTGGATTGGCACCGAGATCAGAGAGTTTCGACATGGTCATTGATGGTTTGAAGAATGCCGGTAAGCACGATCTGGCTAAGAGGATTGATCACATGGAGATTTCACTTAGGGGAAGGTGATTAATGGAGAGTTTTTGCCATTGGAGATTTTTATCAAGAAAAGAGTGTGGTCAGTGGAGATTTTGCCATCCCATTTTCTATCTTGAAGTGAGCAATTGACTTCATTGCTCACTAAGTTTCAGAGCGACTCATTGGTAAGATCCTTGCTCACTGTTTCTTTTTTAATGGTTTCCATTCACTTCTTTGCTTTGAAAAACCCTTTTTTTTTTAGATCTCAGTTGCAGAGGGACTCATTGGTAGGATCCATTGTTTGATTGTTGTTTCTTTTCTCGTCTCATTTTAATAGTGAGTATTTTTTTGGGTATTTGCATTTGTATTTGCTTGACAACAATGTTTCTTGTGAAACCTTAAGTATGCATGTAAGTTTGCAGAGAACTGGAGCTCTAGAAAATGACTTAGCTCTTAATATTACATTTCGGTGAATAAATTTCATAACTTGCGCCATTACACCATAGCACCTTCCCCTCAACCCAGACAACAGCCCCCCAAACACCCCATGGGGGTGCCACAAACAACCCTAAAAAAATAGTGCTTATAGCATGCTCCCCCTGGAGCATATTGTACATTAACTCCCTCCGGCAAAAGAGCCACTTGGGAGGATTTTTTTCTGAACTTTTGGGATCCTCCTAAACATTTAGATGATTAATTTCATAACGAAAAAAAATTGCATTTTGAGTTCATCAACACTTAGATCTTGACCTCTAAAAATTGGACGGTATTTTTCAATCTTGGGACATTATTTCTTTCAACAATATAATATGCGATTTGATTTTTTTTTGAGGTTTGTCTTTAGGTTCAAGAGGCTCATCATCAATCACCATCATCATCAACAGAGCCTTATCCCAGCTATTTGGGGTCTGTTGTCTCTAGGTTCAAGACGCTACTTCCCAAAAATTTGTGGTCCTAAAAAGTGCCCCTAGCTTCTGTTTTACCTGAGGGAGCAACAGAGCAATATTCTCCTGCAGGAGCAGCAGATCGTTTTAGAAAGAAAATACTATACCACCATAGCTAGGAAAACCAGCTGAAACTTTTACAATTGTATGAAGTATGATTGTAGAACCAAATCGTCTAGGCAAAGCCAAATTTCAGGGTCATGTGCTCCCATGTTCCTCTCTATACTTGATACAATTGTGGAGATTGAAGTATTTTTGCTATAGGTTATTTTCGAAAAGACTCTTATCTAGTGATGACAATGGCCTTGATGCGACTCCTGTTGATGGCAGGGAAGGATATGTTCGATATGGCAAAAACATCTTTTGGCTGTTGGTCCCCCCCCCCTCCCACCTCGCCCCCAAAAATTAAAAAATAAAAAAAATAAAAAAGAAAAATCCTTTCTATTAAGAATTCTCTATGGCTTAATTTTTGAATTTTTTTTTTCTTTTTTTTCTGCTGTTAGAATAGTAACTGAAGCTGGCTATTATAATAATAACGCCTTTTGTTCTTTGAACATTTCTAGTAGGCCACCAAATCTTCCTAGTTTTACAAACTATGGAATATTAAAAGAAATACTCTGTAGAATAATCTAAACGTGAAAATTACTAAACAGCTTGAATCTTCTTATTGCTTCCTTTGTTCTGCAGAGTTATCTCTTCTAGCAGGCTCAAAGCTAGAATTTAACTAGCTGTGCCTCCTCCTCTTTTGATGAACCCCTATTGAATCTAGCAAAACGAATTCTCTTGAAAACAGTTTCAATTCTAGTCAATTTAAATAGGATATCATCGGCCTTTGTAATGTGTGCTTGATAAAGCAAGACACTACCCACTTATTGTAAGGTCAATTCGGAGAACTAATATTTTTAATCTTCCGCCCTCTATCACACCCGAATGGGGAACTGAGCTGCTTATGAGCTAGTTTATTTTGACATGCCCTATGTTCAATTCAACCTTCTCGGCCGCTTGACTGATATCTGTCCTATTGATCACCCATTGTTACCTTCAATTTGAAAGCTTCTATTTCCTCCTTATTCCCTATGCTCATAACTGTGCCCTATTCCTTAAGCTCATAACTCATAAGCCTTTTGCTACTACTTCACTGGAATGCTCGAAAGATATTCCTTCTATAGCATTTCCAACCTGTTTAAAATATTCCACAATTGGGGAATAAAAATGATTAGAAGATTTAGTGGACATGGGGTCCTAATCCTATAATTGCTCTCTCAGAGATCCCACTGTCAACATACTGCCTTGCTTGGTACCTGGTTGCTATATACTGATATGAAAAGGAAAGGAGACAATTGATTACTCCAATTTCACTTTTGCTTCTGAAGAAACTTGAATTGGGGCTTTTATTCAAGACTCAGAACGGCATTATGACCCTGACAGGGGGATGGCTGGGGGACTAGAAAATTCATCGACATCCTCGGCCAGCACCACCTTATAGTACTATCTATCAGATCTTATAATACCACCTATCAGGTTAAGGTGGTTAAACTTCCTGATGGCTTGTGATGCTTCCGGCCTCCCATTTCGCTGTAAGTCAGGGATGATTTTTATTTTGCAATTTCTACTAGTGAAAACTTACTATGCACTGATGCTACTTGGAAAACTTCCTGTGCACTTCAGATCTGTGCCTGCCATACAATTATTACAATGTATACATCTGGGACACTATCAACCATTTTCTAGATCGGCAGTGGAGATGAACCATGGTTCTAGTGACTGACATTCATGCCGGAGCTGCGGAGCAATAGTTCATCTTGCACGCATGTTCTGAGAACTTACTGGATGCTTCAAATCTGTATTGTATACCATACACAGGATGTTTGTGGTGTATCTGATAATGAATTATGTGAATTTCATACTTGATATTTCTCTCTTATTTGGCTGGTCATACATCTTATGCATGTTTCTGTAGGTTTAATAAGATATAGTCGATTTCATTAAAATATGTTATTTGGTTAATCAAGATCTAATTGAACTTTTTCGACTCCTCAGATGGGAGGACATTGCTTGCTAGTCTTTTCTTGAGTATGTGCCTGGAGTATTGTTGCATGGCCATGAGTGTGAGCTCATCCCTGAAAACTGAGGTGGCCAAATCAGGGCAGGAAGTGTATATTTTCCAGGTAAAGCTCTGTTGTCGTAAAAGTAGTGGCTATGTAGGGTTCCGAGGGTGTGAATTTAATTTTTTTCCCTTTGTCTTTTATTACCAACGAGGTAATTCTACCTACAATGATAAATTATACAGGGGAAACAGAAAATAAAACCTAAATACAACTTGTGGATCTAATTCTTACTGCCTTAAAGAAAATAAAACTTTATTCATAAACTGACACACTATATTAAGACTATAGAATACACGAACAATGCTCTAATGAGGAGATCGATCAGGAAAGCGATTAGGATTCCCGTGAACGCTATTCTGCATTGCTGTTGGTGTTGAAATAAGCTTGCAACCAAGCGTCTTGAGTACGATCAAGAAGATCCTGGATATATTAGTTTGTGATGGAAATACCACCTAGAAAATAAGATACCTCCATGCCAAGAAAGTAGTGAAGGGGTCCCAAATCTTCCGTTGGGAAATAAACCATTCTAAAGGATCTGAATAATCACCTGTCACAATAATATCATCGACATATAGGAGAAGAAGAATAGTACCTTGAGGAGAGCAACAAATAAATAGAGATGATTCAACTATACTGCGAGAAAAACCCAACGATAACAAGGAATATTAAAAAATTTGGCTGCCTGGTCGCCTAGGCTGCCAAGGCACATTGAGGCACCTTGGCCGAGGGAGGAAAAAGGTCCTTGGCCATGGGTAATTTAGGGAGTTTCCCATCCTAAAAGGTGGGAAAAGGTTTTTGGGGAGCATTCTTGTTCCCCAAGACCTCTCTTGTGTAATTTAGTGAGAGGAAGTCTCTAAGAAAAACTAAGGACTGGTGACTTTTTTAGGGATCAAGAAAATTTCAACTTTATACTTCGTGATACTTTTTGGAGCTGGTTTGGGCGGATATAGGTTTCTTTTTTAAAAGGTTAGTCCATTACAATATTGAATTAGGGTTTGTTCATTTTTTTTTGTATAATGTGTTATGACTCGAATCACTTGATATTCTTTTACTATTTTTTTATTTGTGATATTTTTACATATTTGTAATTGAGAACTTGAAATATTTTGTGAATATTCCTCGATTTGGACTTTGGGCCTATATCGAATTCATTTTGAAATGCTTAATGAAATATGTTTTTGTTTTGTCCTTCTTTTTTTATTTTTTTACATGCTTGAAGATAGAATATTTTGTGAATATATACAGGTTTTGACTTATATTTTTTGAATGGTTTGAAACTTCAAATTGAATTTGATATTTTTTAAATATTTAGACCAAATCTTATGGATATTATGCCATGTGATATTATGTGAATATTTCTTTTAGATTGATAACATATTATGTGATTCTTGTTAGATTGAAAAACCAAATATCACCCTACCCCCCCGATCCTGAGGTTTTACCACGTGAAAGGGGTCAAACAGGTTTAGAGACCCACTTAAAAAAGAATGGATAGAGATAAGATAACACAATAGTTGGCTAGATGGTTATACCAAGCAGGCATTTCTTTCAAGGCTGCTAAGTTGAATAGCTTTCAAACTATGTTTGAAGTAATGGGTCAATTTGGGCCAGGGTTTAGGGCACTAACTGCTTATAAGCTTGCTTAGAACAGAACTTGAGCTCATAGTTACCGGGATCTTCTGAGGAGGACGTTGCTCCAGCTCTAGAAGCTTGATCCCACGCTCCGAGACACAAAATCTCGATTCCAAGCAATTCCTTCATATATAGAATCTCGATCCTGGAAATAGGGAACTCGATCCCTTGTTAATGGGATCCATATCACTAAGCCAAAATCATGGTTCCATTAATACGCAGAACCGTGGTTCGACCAACTTGGAATCGAGTATCCTCTACTTTGGGAGCAAGTTTCACAAGCACATTTTTGGTCCATATATAGTGGAGTCTGGGTCTCCAATTTTTTGTGACCTACATATTTTTTAAATGCCATGATTTCCTACATAATTTACAGTTCACAACTTTATACACCTTGTAAATCGTGAATTGTATCTAGTTTCAAAGAAAGGCAATAATATAGGGCAAGGAGATAGAAGGAAAAAGTTGAAAGGCGATACTAAAGTTAGCCGCGTTTTGTATCTATTGAGGAATGAGGTCGTGATCAATATGCTTAACTCCCTTAGGGCTAGTTCATTTAGTCCTGTCCACCCCCACAGGACTTCTATCGCTTTAGTGTTGGTCGACCAAATAAAGCCACTCATTGGGCTGCCTTATTGATGATAGAATAATATGTATGCTTGGAATTGTGAGGCCTCTCTCGTGCATATGTCATTGAGCCCTTTGCAATCTTTGACAAAGGAGAGGTATAGGGAATTGTATATGGCAATGTCTTTCCTTTTTTCTGGTTTGGTCAAGGAGAGCTTAGCTATAGCAACATCTCCTTTTCAGAAACAATCTATTGGAACATTCTTATATGTAATCATCGATCGATATTCAAGTAGGAGTCGTCTGATTCAACCGATTGGTGCCAAAATGTGGATGTGTGCGTTCGTAGGCAGACCAATGTAGGTAGGTGCGCATTTTTGTAGTGGACCCACATTAGTAAATTTTTAGAGTGATTCTTACATAAGTAATTGTTTTATATCACTCTTCATTCCCATTGCTAACATATAAAAAATTTGTTTTTATCAGGGTGTGACAAACGTTTTGTTAACAGCTCAAAGCAAAAATCAAGATGAAAAAGATGTGCATCATACAATCTGTCAATGGTGCATTATCACCTAAATGCAAAAATCTTGCATACCAATCTCTCCTTGACTGAAGTTGAAAGGGGTTGCACAACACGATAAACTATCATTTTACGGTAACGACCTACCAATGATGACAAAATGTCAAAGAGAATTTCAAAGACATGATTATTGTTTACATTAACACTTGGGTTTCTGAATTTGGAGAAAGTTAAAACATATTGTTCAATGGATTTACTCCCAATGCAATACAGTGGATAAGTGAACTTCAGGATCCTCAATGCTAATCACAGCAGGACATGATCCTATTTAGTAAGCAAATCTTGATAATGCTACGTATAAAATTGAATCAGTAGGGAAAATAACAATCCCCATGGAAAGCAATCCCCAGTCTTGAGAATCTTACGGGAACATAGTATTGCTTTTGCCAGTAAAATTCCCTTCACTCAAGCATATCTTTCTAATTTCTTAGATTTCAGATTAAGAAAAGTGTGGGGCTTAGAATATTGTTATACTTTGGCAACAAGGTTCCTTGGCTTCTTTTATACAATTTCTTTGTGCTTATATGTGAAACCAATGTTGTGATATTTTTTTTAAAGGCTACCTGTTTGGATTTCCTAATGCACCGTATTCCACTACTGGTTACTTGAGACCAATAATGGATGTTAAATTTTTTTATGTAGTTTATACTGGCCGCCATCCTAGCATACATACTCTTGAGGAGAATGTCTCCAACAGATGAATAAATAAATATAAGGGAGCATCCTAATGCTCTTCTCTCAATAGGAAGCAGTGCTACACTCTAGGGAATTTCAAGGAGATTGTAGATTGCGACAAAGTATAAAGTCAGAAGGCTCAATAGTTTGTGGGAAAATGTGCAAGATGGTGCCTTTTTAGTTCGACTTATTTGCATCAGTTTATTTTATTTAATGAATCTATTCGAACTACTCTAAAAGGAAAACTAATGCTTATGTTTTTCACATTCAATACTATTTTGCATTTGGATATGGTAGTCTGTTTAATTAATTCGTGTGAGTAAATTTTGGCCTTACTGGTATCAAATGTACAGCACGATGTGTTGGTGCTCTTGATTATATTGTGTAACGGACGTTTGTGGATTTTGTAGTCGATAGTTTTTATGGTGTAATAAAGGCGAACAAAGATATTTCTCGGTACGCTTGTTAAATTTGAGGAGAGCGAGGATGGGGGAACCACAATTTGGGTTTGGGTTGCTTTGGTTTCATTCTATCTTCAAATTTTGAAAATCTTCTGAACATGGAATTGATTGGGTTGTTTATTTGATGGAGTTAGTCATCTTCTGTTGTATGAGATGTCATTGATGAAGTGTTCTTGACATGGGTTATTGGGCTAAACTTATTGATTCCCTGCATGAGTTATAAGTAAGTTATTTTTCATTATTGTTTATGTACAGATTTCTCGATAAACGTGTGACAGCTTTGAGTTCATTCTATTGACTATTTGCTTTGGTATTTGTTCCCTTTTAAAATTGTGTATGTTTGAATTACTTGTTACAGTGCTGCTTGTTTAGTGGCACAATATCACCTCCAGAATCTGACGAGGGTTCAGTAAATGGCAAATGCCCTTCTCTTCAATGGTATATGTTCATTGAAATTTTAATTGTATTCTCTGATTTCTTTCTCATTTGGATAGCCACAAGAATTTGCTGATTGAATGATATAACCAACATGTACCCCTTATTAAATAATGCTGCTTAAAAAATGGTGGCTTAATGGCAATATTTGGAAATGGGCAGGGTATTGGATAGCCTTCTATATTGTTATTTACCCTGGTAGTGGACCATGGGTAGTCGAAAGCATAATAATGAATCCATTGGTACAGCTTCCAAGTTGTGGTTACTCGTATGCTTTGTAGAGTATTAGTACATTTAAGTGCGGTGAGAATCTACTAAATGTGTGCTGTAGAATCTGGTGCTCACCTTTTTTGCGTTGTTCTTTTGTTTCAAGTATTTGGAATTGATGCCTTCAACTGTTGGGATTGAAGATTGCCATGCCTCATAATGTTTTACCTGTAGTTACTCAACTTGGCTTGCTCTATTTGCCTATGATTGGGAATGTGATTTGGAAAATCTTAGGTGGAGTTGTATTGTGGGAAGTTTGGAAGGAGTGAAGTCATCAGACTTTTGATGGTCATGTTTTGTCCCTGGACAGAATTCTTAGCAATATTAAGTACATTTTGTGGTGCTGGTTATCGAGTAACAAAGAAGGACGGGGTGTTACGAAAGTGGATGTTTTGCTCAACTTGTCTTTAGCCTTTTCGATATGGGAACGGTGAAATGTCGCCTTAAAGGTAAGATGGTTGCCTCCAATGCAAGGTTGTTTTAAGGTGTTCTTTTAGTAATCCCGATCAAGCGGGTTTTGGGGGGATTGTGAAAGATTTAAATAACAAGGTATTTTGGTAAAAAAATATATAAAATTAATCAAACTTCTATATGCATAAATCCCATACTGAGTTCCTAGCAAACTAAATATTTAGTATCATTGAATCTCTTTCTTGCTCTTTATAAGGATATTATGGGTTGGAAGGAAAAAAAAAAAAGATTTTTCTTTGGGTTACTTTTCTTCCAATTCTACCTATTATTTTGATATATACGATTGTTTTAATTATCTTTTACTTGTAAATTTTCGTACATTTTTTTTGAAGGAAACTCATTGGTGAAACTTTTGATAGAATTCTTTTGTTAAATCAAGATTCTTAATTTACTTCCATTGTTAATAGGGATTTGTCTACAAAGTGACCATTTATCTATTATATATGAAGATCATAATCATTTTCACCTATTAGATATCAAATTGGATGGCTTCGGGTGAATCATGAGTCCAATAAATTTTTTTTTTGAACTTTGTGTCTATCGAATAACACTCTTACAATCACCCATTTTGAGAATTAAGGGACAATAATGATTGTTACCTTCATGTACAAAAAGATAAAGGGTGCGGTTTCTATAAAATTGCAATATTAAACAATCCAATTACGGTGTACCTTCAAATTTCATCATAACATGTAATTTTGGTGTAAAACATTCTTAGGATTATTTGAAAATCTATTTTTATGTCTAATTATAAAATTTTAAACTCAAAAAATAATTAAAATAAAGTAGTTCTATAAATATGTGAAAATCTTGAAAATGGACGATCTAGATAATGTGTTGCAAGATGCACTATTTTTGGGACTGAAAATCGTTTTCATTTTTCATATCCATACATCTCGATGTCGAGATGATCAATTAGAGGGTTTTTCAACATTAAAAAACTTTTTTCGATGGATTTTTGAGGTCCATATGTAATTTTACATGTTAAGGTTACAACCTTATATAAACTTTTTCCAAAGATAAAGGATCTTTGTGTAGACAATCGCTTGTTAGTGTGCTTATCTTTAAACTAAAATTTATTAATATTAAGTTAATAAATAAATAAAATTATAGGGAAGAAGTTTTTTTGAAAAAATAAAATATAGATTTATATCGGTACTATTAAAGAAATGCGATGTTTTCATTTTGTAATATTTAAATATTTTTTATTTTTCACGACTTTTGTATTAATAATTTTTTTGTAATTTTATCGATTTTCTCATTTTGCGGCTTTTAGGCCAGCTACTTAGTGAGCTCGGCTTGGCTCTTATCCGCGCTAATTAACGTGACTCGGCTAAAATCAACTTGGCTGGGCTTAGATAGGCTAAAATCGGCTCAGCTCATATCGGCTCAACTCAGTGAAATTTTATTCACTTGAATTTTTAAGTTTAGCTATTGTAGCCGAATCGAGCTGAGCTGAGCCGTAATAGGAAGAGTCGAGCTGATGTACAACGAGCCGAACTTATGTGAGAAATATCCACAAGGCTTCCAAGTTCCAACAACGTTACAATGGAGCACATCCCGCTCATTCGAGTTTGATGGCAGATTACCTTTCTCGCCTGTGCGTTCATGAATGAAACTCATTCCATGGTAATCCTCTACTCTACCTCAAACCTTCATTTTCTTTCAAAAGTCTCTCACTACCTTTATCTTAGCCCATTCCATTATCACCCAAGGCCCATTTGCCATCCTTCACTCGTTGCCCCAACCCACGGTTTTGGGTTTTCTCTGGTACTAGTCTAGCAAAATGCAATGCACGCTTCAAATTCTAGTCCGCAAATGGAGGTCTCCTTGCCTTCCCTGTGAAATGAAGATGAACTGCATTTTAAATTGAATGGTACTTTGCATGATTCAATATTTTAATTCACTAACCAAGGTATTGCTGGACCAAACCATGTGAGTTATGAACATTTGTTGCCATTGGATGTGTAGGATTATGTGCATGCTCATGAGTTTGCCAGACATTAATATTGTGTTAGAAGGCTTATCATCTTGAACAAAGGGGTTTAAAGTGAAAATAGTCACTCCTTTGGAAGAAGATGAAGCATAAAACTAGGTGATGAATGAATCTTTTTTCAGTAATGCAGAGGAAATATTTCATTTTATTAGCCCTTCTCTTTTCTACTTTTTTTTTTTTTTTCTCTAATCCTCTCTCTTCTACTTCTCTTATCTTCCCTTCTTTTCTCTTCTCTCTTCTCTTCATTTCTTCTCTTCCATCTTTTGTCTTCTCTCTTAACCCCTCTTTTTTTCTCTCTCTTCTTCTCTCTTATCTCTCCACTCTTCCTCCTTTCTTTCTTTCTTTCTTCTCTCTTATCTCTCCTCTCTCTCTCTCTCTTATCCTTCTTTTTTCATTCCCTCTTCTTCTATCTCTCTTCTCTTTCTCTATTCTGTCTTATCTCTTCTTTTCTTTCTTTCTTCTTCCTTTTTCTTCTCTTTTCTGCTAATCTCTCTCTTTTTTTTTTCATTATTTCTTCTTCCTCTCTCATTTGATCAAGGGAAGCCGTCGTGTCAGTTTGAGTTACCGTGCCCGTCTTGCTGTCATGTCAGACTAGCCATCATGCCAGGCTGGTTGGTGTTGGTTCTGTCGTCGAGTAATTAAGCCGCCATGCTAGTCTGAGTTACCGTGCCTGTCTTGCTACCACGCAAAATCAATCACTGTATTGGTCTAGCTACTGTGTCAGTTTAGCTACTTGGTCAAATTTCTCTTTCTTCTATTCTACTTCTTCCTTCTCATTTTGTCACCCCAATCTCTATCCTCTTATTCTTTCCTTCTTCTTTTGAATGCGCACGTTCGTGTGCATTTGCTCAAAGACAAGATGGGATCCCTTGGCCCACTTGTCTTGTAAAATGAACCATGTATGTGTGATCGTATAAACAAGAAAGTACATGTCAAGGGAGACGATTTCGAACTAGGTGTAGGACTGGAGGACTTTCCATCATGATCTAAGAGAGCGCCCACGCGAGTCAGCTCCAGTGAGTCACAGATTCAGATGAGGTGTGTACTGCCTCACATCAAATTTATCTCTCATCGGTTGGTGTACCTACCCTCTTAGATCTCATAAGTATAGATGGAACCTTTATTCTTCCTTGTTCCTTATCCAAATCAGATCTCATAAGGGTGATATCCATAAATTTTGGAGTAGTATTTGTTAAATATCTAAGATTGACAACATGTTTATGAATTTTCAGGGGCTGTGCTTTTTAAAATTCACAAGCCTCTGCCATTTATTAGTCTTTTTTTTAATAGAGATACTAGACTATAAGGAATGTTTCTCCATGGAGAAAAAAGGACTGCGAACTATGGCTTCATAGAGCTATGAGCTATCCTAGGATGCGTCCAGTTCCAAGTTAGCTAACTCTTCTACCTCTGTATTTATCTTTTGAAAAGTGTATTTAACAAATTATTGAGAACTGGTCTTAGTTCTGCTAGTTCTTTAAATCTACTAATGGCTTTCCAAATTTTCTAGATCATAGTGGCAATATCGAACTTTATAAAATTGATGGCTCATCTGCAGTTACTCCAATATTACCACTGTTTTTGTTGAGTTTTGTGTGTGTGGGTGTGTGTACGTGGAGAGAGAGAAAGAGTGAGAGGGGTTCTTGGTAAGGGGAATTGTTGAGAGAAAAGGGCGGATATATGATGTATATACTATCTTACCGCTGCCCAAGACGTCTTGCATTTTGGATGGTATATACTATGAGGGGTGA